TCTATTATTAGATAGGATAGATAAGACTTCATTCAACTTTAGGGAAAACATAATCAGTTCAAATCATGATCTTCCTCTTCCTCATCACCCATAGTATTTTCTGGATACTTACTATGCCCAGGCTTCATACTTAAACTTTCCATTATCAAGTCCTCACAATGGCCTTTTGAGGAAGACACTATTATTACTACTTTTACAGAGGCTTGGAAAGGTCAAGTGCCTTTCTAAAATAACACAACGAGGAAATAATGAAGCCACCCTTCCAATCTAGGCAACCTGACCCCCCAAGCCCACGCTCTAAATGACAACATCACACAGCTCACTCCAGGATCATGGGAACATTCACATTACACCCAATACTAGCTTTCCACTTATGGCCATTCCATGATGAAGTCTGAATCTCCAGGTAACTTCACCAGACTGTATGCTTCTTTACCCAAATGGCAATAGTATGTGCTTAGAGGGTACAAACTAATTTTTGTTGTTATTAAACGTCACCAGAGGATATCTTTTTCCATTGATTTTTAGAGTGAAAGGGAGTGGTAGAGAGAGAAAACCAGAGAGAGAGTGAAACATCAATATGAGAAGGACACATTGACTGGTTGCTTCCTGATTGTGCCCTGACTGGGCCAGATCGAACCTGCAATCCAGGTACGTGCCCTTGACTGGGAATTGAACCTGAGACCCTTCAGTGCTTTGGCTAATGCCCTAACCATTGAGCACACCAGCCAGGGCCAAACTAATTTGATTAATACTATCCTGAACATGGCATAATCCAGCAGATAAATCTTAAGGCACAATTATTTATAATATTACCTAGTTGTAGAGGAAGTCCAGTTTATTTATAAATGGAAATGTATATTTGGAAAGCTCAATTTTGAAGCCCTTCTTATCTGGTGTTTTCAGTTTGGTCTTTTGCCTCAATTCTAAGTCCCACACCTCCAGCAAGAGGAGGAGAACATACAGGCATGAATTCCCCAGCCCCCATCTAGGCATCAATAGGTATATTAGTTCCTTATTTGTGGACTTCAGAATGGTTGGATATAATAACCAAAGATTATCTTCATTGCACAAGATTAAACTCTTGGAGTTATCTATGGACCTTGTTTCACTGGAGACAAAAAAAGAATCTTACAGTCAAACTTTCATGAGTGGAGTTAAGGAAAGACGATGAGAGCTGGAGAAGACGTTCAGAATCACCTAGGCTGGGGTTTTAAACGCAAATGCAGGTCATAAGAACAAGTGACGCAAAGCAGGCAGAGTGGGCAGCGAGGGAGACCACGCCAGGCAACTGCAGAGGCCGGCCACGTCACAGGGAGCATGCCACTCGGCCCCAGCCAGCCATTGCCCGTCATACTCTTTCTTGCCAGATCTGATTCTCCAGGCAAGGCCAGAGGGCCAGGTTTTCTATGAAATGTATAAAAATATCTACTTATAAAACGTGGTAAAGGCCAAAAGGAACATGTCAGCAGGCCTAATCTGGCCTCGTATCTATCTCTTCCTTTGGTAGAAGAGGAAAAAGGTCTAACTGAACTTACCAAGTGGGAGAGCCCAAATTCGTTATTCTCTTTTCTGTGGCAGACTCTCTTTTACAACCTCTATTTATAAAAATGTAACATCGTCACTTATTGGAGAGCATCAGAAAAATGCGATATTGCAATCATTGGTAATCTTACTTAAAATTGTCTTCTCGTTGTCGGTTTTTGTCTTGTTTGGTTATGGGTTGTTGTTTTTTTATCTCAATTTCCATGGAAGGATATAAAAGGTCTCTGCTACCTTTATTTTGGCCCTGTTTAAGGTGTTATCATAGATGGTTCTTTCTTTTTTTTTTTTTTCTTCTTTGCTACTGGGTATGCTCCTTTTATAGCTATATTTACATAAATGTCCTACTCCAGTTGTTTATCTTTGATTGCCTGGTCTCTGTTTTCCCTTTTACACAATAAAAATGAAAGCTGTGGCAAAGGCTAGGAATGCACTGAGCAGAGTTCATGTCTAAACGGTTTGGGGGGTGGGGGGGTGTTACCCGGTGGCAGCTCTGTGCCAGCATCAGTGAATTTACATCACTGAATTGCTACACAGCCGTCTACTGCCACTCATCTTAAAAAGAAAGCAGTCAAATAGGATCTTACTCCTGTTTGAACATAAAGTCTGAACATAACTACCAGCAAGTTTGGAAAGATTTAGCATAGGCAGCCCCTATCAAGAAGTGAAATTAAGTGGGCAAGGCACGGGTGGGCGACTCCTACCCTCAGAGAGCGCTAGGTAGCCCCTCCCACCAGCATCTGCAGTTTAAAAGCTAATGTCACTGGGGAGGGGAGGCCACCGCACCTTTCTGCCACTTCTCTCCCCATCTCGTGGTTTCACTTACCTTTCTGGATCTTGAAGGCGTTTGAGTTTGTGACCCCTGCTCTAGACTTTCAGCAATCTCCTCTTTAACACAATTTCTTATGATAAGAAATTAACTCAACAACTTACATAAGAGTTGAGTCAATACTGTTTCAACGACTTCAGAGCTGCTTCCCATAAACTGGTAGTTGCTGCCTAAATGAAATGACCATATCAACAGATGACTGCAGTAATGAGCCACCTCGTCTCTTTCTGCTTCCAAAGCATTAGCCACATGGCCACCAAACAAATCTGTCATCATTGCATTCCCGTTACTTACAAGATAAAGCTTGGACTACTCACTGGCACTCAGGGTCCTTTGTAATTCAGCCTCCATCTAAATGACCAAAGTTATCCCCCTCCCTCACCAGTAGTTTCCCACGCACACACACACCTGGCCCATGTCTCTTTATTTGTTCATGAGTCCTACTCCCTTCCCCTTTTGCCTCTCCAAAGACTCCCCATTCTTCATAGCTCAACTCAAACTCTACCTTTTCCATTAGGTTTTCTAAACCATTCCAGTCTCAAATGATCTTGCCTCCTTTTGAATGTCAATGCTCAGCTAACATGTATTGAATGAATAAATAAATTCTGTCATGACCACATTCTTATGACCACTTAATTAGGGCCAACTTGCTGAACCTTTTTAAGATATAGCTTTATCATCTGTAAAAATGTACTTTGAGCAAGGATTAAATGAGACGTTATGACGTATCCAGCAGAGATGCCACGTATTTTCAAAGATGTCAGGTATACAGATTCAAGAAATACTACCCTGATTTACTGCCTTCC